GAAGTGAGCTCCCGGCTAAACTATAAGAAAAAGCTGATAAACTGACTCAATACCCAAGCAAATCTGACAAATCCTGCTGAGGACACCCTGAGCCACAATCTACGACATATTACCGATCAAATGGTGATTTTATCTCGACGCATCTCCGAGAAATATCTGTGGAGGCAGCTGGGGAGAAACGGACGTTCTCCCTGCTGACATTCGGCCTGGATGAGGAGAGGTGATCGGTGAGGGGCATCCTGGTATATAATCGACTGTCCATCGAAAAGAGGGGGCCTTTGTAATCCTGCAGAAGCCCTAGTAATCTGAGGCCTTTCAATCAGCCGTCCCAAAATAGCGGACGTGCCATGTGAAGGCAGCCTTACGACTTCCATGAAGCACCTGGACAAAATCTTCACCAACTTCTGGCGCAAATTCGCTGTCAGGCAAGAGCAACGAGAGGAGAGGGAACGGGGCGACAGCTTACTGCAAAGCTCACCGCTTGCCACTCACCGACCTGCTAAACATGCAACCCCCACGCCACGTACTCTACACCAGCGGAGGCGACGCAACCGACCCCCGGGCACTTACAGGAGCAAAAAGGAAACAAAATTCAGCCCCGCTACCCCGGGCTGAAAAGAGCAAGGGGGAGCCTCCCGGCGCACATCTCGCACCTCCAGAGGATGAGGCTTCAAGAGCAAGCCGGCACTGCATCGCACCAATGGCAGAGGAGCTGCACGCAGCCGGACTGGCAGGAACCGGAGCCCAACTCAAGTATGGGAAAGACAACACAACAAGATCAGGGCCATTGAGACTCTCACACCCCGAAGAAGCCAGGTACCAAGACAAGGGATGGGGTGATCGACCACTAATATGCAGCCTGGACATTTCAGTCACCGTCACGCTCTTCTCTCATGGACTGATTTGTACCGATCCACACCTGGACTATTTACGCTACCTGGCCCACTTAATCGACCGTTATGCCACGACAGACGCTGACCAGACCAACACGCAGCCTCCTTAACTGAGATTCACAGCGCTCTCTCCTTAATCCTCCATTGGAGGTAACTAAAAAAAACCTCCATTTGTCTAAAAATACATAGGGATTAAGGAGAGAGCACAGGTAACGTGTTTTTCGTTTGGTTTTTACTATATATTGGGGCTGATGTGTACTGTAGTCATTGCTGCCGCCCAGTGATGGGAGTGAGCGCAGGACTTATCTTTCTGCATTTGTATCCATTTTTTGTATTACTCAGCCTTGTTACAATGCAGCCGCCCATCTCATGTGTTCCCTATTAAGGGTTAATAATATATAGGGGTGTATATAAAAAAAAAAACCTCTGTCTCATTAGAGATCTTTGCCAGAAGCTCAAGGAAGCAAGGTGAATGGTTAGAGTTAGGACCCACCTGGGGGGGTCTGCCTTGACATTGGCAGGTGGGTTATCCTCTCATGGCCATTGGAGGTAACTAAAAAACCTCCATTTGTTTAAAAATACATAGAGATTAAGGAGAGAGCGCAGGTAACTTGTTTTTCTTTTGGTTTTTAATAATATATCCTGCCTATTTTACTATGCTTGATGGAGCCGTTGTGGCATACCTCCCCATTCACCCCAGAGTCTAGATAGATTTACATACTCTAACAGCAAACGCCACAATATAGATCTAGACCGTTATATTAAGCCTTGTTTATTACTCATGTTCCTTAACTTGTCAATACTTCTTAAAAATGTGCACATTTCTATCAATGCCTTACTACATTTAAACCATGTACCTTGTCTCTTTGTCAATTGCTGTTGGGGCATGACAAAATTGTATGGAATTTTCTGCACAACAAAATAAAGAATAAAAAATATATATATATATGCCTTTTTAAGGTCCACATCCATTCTTTTCTCCATTGATTCACAGAGATATGCTAGCGAGTCTATAGGGAGAGTGCCATCCGTATTACTGCTGCATCTATTTTTGGAATGGAGTGCCAGCCTTTGGAGTCTTACGATGAGACCAGATAAATTCTAGAAGCCTTATTCTTTAAGGTAACCTTGTTTTCTGGTTTTCTCAATTCTTCCAGTATTATATTCTTGATAGAATTATGGACTGGAAATGAAGACCTTGATGGTTTCAAGTCTTCACAATATCTATCCAATTCCAGACAGACATTCAGTCTTTTCCTCCTGGCAAGAACTGCAATATAAATTACCACGAAAGAAGCTGGTGAACAACTAGAGGAACATATTAAAAGGAGCACATAACTCGGGTTAGAAACCTAAATGCATTCGGTAGAAAAGAGACTAATTTACACAAAATGCTTATCTGCCTCTTGAGGCTTTAGCTCAATAGCAAACGCCTTGAAATTAAGCAGACACTGTAAGGGGATAGATAGGGACTTACAATATATATATGCCCTTAACTTATTACCTTTGTTGCATGCTGTATAAATATCCACAGTAAAGGAGGAATAATTGAAGATTCCCTTGAATTAGTTCAAATAACTAAATCTGAACCTATCCCTGTTACTCCCATTCTAAACAGGCTATTTACTGGGATCTTCAGACAAAGAGGCTGAACTTTGTCTGGTAGACCCATGGTGCACATGGGCAGATGGCCAAAAAAATACAATTTTAAATTAGAAAATTCCTGTCTGAGGACATAGAAGACTGGTGTGTGAAGGAAGGAGGGTCACTTGGTCTCATTTGAACTCTGTAACCTGTCCTGGTCCTGAGGGCAGAGCTACCCATAAGTGATGCTGCCATGATTACCCAGATTTTTTTTTATTCTATGCCTTGTAAAGCTCTGTAACATGCTGGCTGATTTCTTAAGGGGCACTCTGCACTAACATATGGTATGGTGCAAAGTGGTCCATGGAGTTTAATATACCATGCAGCCTGTCTCCCTACTGAGAGTAGATTAAAACCAAATGCAAATTTTCCATATTAAGTAGCTGCATCCATGCTTCTCAAGTTAGATCATTTCTTATATTTTGCAGTGAGAAAATGACCAGCTTGGGAGAGCCACATTTACAGCTTGGATGCAAAGCCATGCCTACTCTAGAAGAATGGAGGATATACACTGGCAGCTGGAGATTACTGCAAATTTCACAAGACCAAACCAAGTGGTTTGTAAACAGATAGAAGCTGCCATCTGCTTTTTGTGTATTTTCACACATACAAGGTTGAGAGGTACAGCTATTGGCTGTAAACTACTAATTGCAAACCACTGTTGGAAATGGTTTTGTGATAGGTTCAACCTCAAATCCCTCCCCCAAGTCAGGATCAGTGGCTCCTGTAGGAGTATCTTCCCAGGTGAGCCTGCCTTTGTTTAATAGGTATGTTACCGAATGGAAAACACAAAACTGAATAAGCGCTAAGGAAACTGACTCGACTTAGGCAGCAGACACTGGGTATAGGGGATACCGTCAACCTAAAAATAGACAGCATAAACTACAAAAAGTTGCATCAAAAAGGTGTAAAAATGATAGAATGAATTTAAAAAAAAAAAGTCTAAATTTCACAATTCTGTCAGTTTCTGGATTCTTGGTTAAGGTGCTTGCATATATGTAAGGAGATATAAAATGACAGATAGTACAGACCGTTTTGGCAGAAATATAGGACTCAACAGTAGTATGAGGTAGCACTCATGTTATGGAGCTTAAACTAGCTCTAAGTAATCTTGCTTGCAGGGGTACAATCCCTACTGATTGATATAATTTATGATGCAAATATCTTGATGTGCAGGTAGGTATATGAAAGCATAAGAAAATATAAAAGTGCTCACTGTAAAATGTGATGCAGTACAAAAATGTATTACTCATATTTGATAGAGCATTAAGTCGCTCAAATATCTGCACATGGGTGGTATAATCCCACCAGGGATATGTTGGTAAATAGTTGTCAGGATTTGAAGTATGTGCCAGGAACAAAGCAAATAAATATTGCATACAAAGTGTAATAAATGGTCTATCACAAAGTCAATTAAAACCAAATACTTTAATGCATAAGAGACAAATTACAATATTATACAATGCGTTTCACCAATAAAGGCTTTTTTCAGCTGTAAAAACTGTATAATAAATTTTGTACTGCAACACATTTATTTTTACATAATAAGCACTTGATCTTATTCTTTCATATACCTACCTGCACATTGAGATATTCACCTCAATGGGGATAGTACCGCTGCCAGCAATCTTACTAGAGCTAGTTTCAGTTCCATAACGAGAGTGCTACCTCATACTATTGTGGAGTCATTTTTTTCTGCCAAAACACTATTTGTCATATTGTGTCCCCCTACATATATTTGCAAGCACCTTCACTAAGAACCAACATTCCCCAAGAATCCAGAAACCGCTGGGATTGTGATATTTGGACTTTATATTATTCGATCGTTTTTACACCTTTTGGCGCAACCTGTTTTGTATTTTATTTGTTGCCCAATGTATAATGAGGGTCACAAATACTGGCAACCATTCAGATTCTTTGACTTTGGATAAGATTAGTTGCTTGCAGAGCCATTTGTTAAATGTTCCTACATTTCATAGGTTTACTAGTTAAGTGAGGTTTATGGATGGGGAATACTTCCAGGTTCCTTTGACGGATGACTCAATTCAATTTAAAAGTCAGGCTGTCCGTGTCCTCTCTTGTACAGAGAACATCGACTGGCCTCGGTGAAAGCAAGAGTGGGACCATTTCCTTGCACGATAAGTTAAACTTCCATGTAAAAACCTTTTATTGGGGGGCCTACCATTAAAAAGGACTTGGAACGTGGACCTTATTACAGAGTATTTTGTGAGGTATGCTGAGCTCCTGCTAGGTTAATCCAAAGATTGACAAGAGTTGAGACAGATTGATTCCAGGAAACGATCTGCCAATGAAAATTTGCTGGTGATTGGAGTTTATTGTATTCACTTCATATCCTAACCAAATTAGAGTTTCAGCACCTACCTATGGATTTCAAGTTATATGCATCTTAAGCCATAATATGAAGCTCAGATTTAGATTGATCCATAAAGTCCAAACAAAATGTAGAATTAAGACACAGATAGCCAGTTGCAGCTTTGTTTATTAAAATGTGATGTCTGCGTTCACAGAACGGCTTTGGACTTGTGAAATCACAATTCATTACAAATAAAAAAGCAATAAAAATGGAAAATAGTTTCCACTATCATTAAAAAAAAAAATTAAAAAAAAAAAAATTAGAGTCCCACCATAGCTGAATACACTGGCGCATCTGTGAATAAAAAGAGAAGTGGAGATAAGTTAGACATTTCATAGTAAGTATCAATGCAGTATATGTCAATGGGTTAGTCTCTGTACCATGTAACTTACACTAGGAACCATGTAAAATCAACCATGTTAATTTCTCATTGTAAGAGTTTAAGAACTGGTCATAATCTTGGGAGGAGAAGGTTATACCAGAAATACAAAGTACAGTGTTAAAAGTAAAGGTGAGACCAAAGTGTGAAGATAGAAAAGAGAAAGCAAAAAAAAAAATAATTAAGCAAAAAACACAAGTTTCTTTGAGGGAGGTGCAGAATAGGTTTGGTATGTACATGATTCTAGACTGAGATTCTAAAAAAACAACCCAAAAAAACCACACACACAATTTACTGTATGTAGTACCCTTTAACAAGCCGAAATAACCAGTATGCTGCTGTTACTCAAAAATATAAGTCTCCACTAGAAAACGTGAGCAAGTCAAAATGGGGGATGACCTGTTGATACTTCTCAAGTACTGTTCCTTAATATATGTATTGCGTGCAAACTTGTATTAAAAAGACTCCGAAGCAGCCCCCACTGTGAGCAACACCAGTATACTTTATTTTCAGGTCTGAAAAAGGTACTACATTGTTTCATTTCAGATTAGTGATCTCCATTGCAGGCTGGATTGATACAGGATCAGTTTTGTCCATTTGGAATATTTATGAAATCTGGACCTTAGGTTTCTAACTGCTTGTGATATGTGAAGGGTCAGTTTACTGCACCAGTGGATTCCAAGTAATTTTTCCACAGCTTGTGATCTTTGTGCTTTAATGTAACAGGGCAGTATTTTATGGACCTTAAAACAAAGTATTAAAAAGAAAAAATTTCTAGTACAACAGGGGAAGTCATCAAGTAGCTCCCTGGCTAAACACAAGATTATCCACTAAAGTGATAATTCGATGGAAATTTCAAAATTTAATGCCATGATAGAAATTGAAACTTGAAGAATTTTACCAGTTTTCTAATTTAAGATCTGAGCAGTCACTTTGAATTCTCACTTATGAATATAAACCTGTGTTCATGCCAGCATGCCCTTAAATCAGAAAGCTCCTATATAGTCAGACTGCATTCAATTTGAGTTTTGATTTACATTGGTGTGAACTAGAGAGATACAGATCACAGGTGGACAGAGTTTCAAAATGGACAGTAAGTTGTTTAACTACTAGCTGGAAAATACAAAGGGAATTCTGCAGTATGACATTTGAACAGAAAAATAAACAATTTCCCTTTACTGGCCTGCAATTAAAAACGAAACAAGTACATATCAGGCAACGTTTGAAAAACTAGTCAAAGGGAAGTTGAATATCTGCAGGTTAAAGAGTATATCAATGGCAAGTCAAAAGGAGATGTCCCCACTAAGATCAGGGTCAAGAAGCATTGAGTTGACTTTACTTTTTGGGCTGTTCTGGTTCTCTGGCTCTGGAACTTTCCAGTCCATCTTACGACCCTTCTCATAGAGTCCTTTCAGCACCTTGCGGAAATTTTCAGGTTCGGTCCCATTCCGGCTCAACTCCAGGTACTTGCGATAAAGCTGCAAAGCTGTCCGAGCATCTTCTATACTGTCATGCGTCTCCCCTTGGATTTTCAGATCTGTAGAAATGATCCAGTGAGAATTCAGTCTATTTCTGTACATTAAGACTGATAACCTGAATACATTGTATTTTATTGCCTGGCTTGTTATTCCTACAGATTGCAGCTGAAATAAATTTCATAAGGTTTCAATTTCTATAAAGTTGGCCTAGTTTAAAGTAGACAATTGTTCTTTTGTTAACCTAAAAAGGATAAAATATGAAGCTTACCAAGAAAGTACCAAGCTAAATAACGAAGAGAGATCATCCTTTTGCGGGGAATGTGGAACAAGTATACAGTGTCAATCACCTGATCTTTTGGCACCTGATTGGGGAAGGAAAAGTTAGATCAGATTTTCACTGACCCATCTACATATTTGGCATGGAAAGAGGTAGAATATATATATATAATCCCACCATGAGGTTTATCACACGAAAGTCTTTCTGCAACCCATGACCAACAAACTTGACTCCCACATCAATGAGAAACCTTAGCTTTAGGTATGTGGATTTAAGGGTTGTCAAATGCTTAGATGAAATCTTGGCATCTAGGTCACCTGGTTTAATACCAGAGTATTGAGTAAGGTAATCCACAACCTGGAAAGGAAAAAAAAGATCTGAATTTCATACTATATAGAACATTCCCAATAGCATTACATTAGTATTTGACAAATCATTTCCTACATTTTGGAATCAAAATTCACAATATGGTAAAAACAGATCTTTTGAGATAAAGCAACATGTCACCTGTTCCTGTGTAGAGATATAGTCATCAATGAAAGGTACTCCCTCATTGGGTCCTTGCCCCCTCACACATGTAATACGGGCCACAGACATCTGGCTTGGTTTTATGGTGGACTTTGTACCATCACTGCGAAGCTCAGCCTCCTCCTAAATTAAGCATGATAGTTGAAGTTAGCCGTTTGGGTTCGCTCCCTTCCCCCTCAAAGAGATTGTGGTACAAACCATTCTAAATTCAAAAGTTGCACATAATTTTTATACACACACATATATATAGTTGGCACCTGATTGAGTGTAACAAATTCTGCATCAAGTCCGACCAGCTCCCCAGTTTGTGGCATTTCGCTTCGTAATAGAGGAATGAAAGTTGCATGGCACTTCCGCTGTTTCCTGGCCAAGGATGCTTCTGCCAACAATACATTAGCTTCTATTGGGTTCTTGACTGCAAATGAAATAAGATTAGGAAGTACAAGGGTTTGTCCACTAAGGCGAAACCCCCCAAAAATCCCTCAAAGGGCGCTAATTAAAATAAGTCAGCCATAAAAAAAGTTTGAAGTTAAACTACTTACTTGACAAGTTGTACTTTACATTCACATTTCTTTTGGAATAGAATAAGATTGCAGGAACTTTCCATGCCATGTCAAACTGCACCGCCTCACACTTCATGGAAAGAGAAAGTTATAGTCCATATTAATAAGTAAATTCTGCAACATTTGTTATAGAAATGGATGCAAGTAAAAAAAAAATAAAAAATAAATAAAAGTAGAATGTGTTACAGTTCCAATGTCTAGGATACTATAGAGCAAAATGTTACATACACACGGCAAGGCTTTGACATTTGAGTGGCTTTGGTATTTTTAAACGGAAAGGACAGTGTCCAAAGATAAGTGGAAGGATTGAATTAAATGCACTTGCAGTATATGCACTCTTGGAACACTGGACAGATCAATAGTTTGAGTTTGGTTTCCATAGTTTATGGTACAAGGGGGTCCCCTCCCTCACGCTCTTGCAACACTTCTCAAATAGGAGGAAGCTATTCTTCCATCTTCCCACACAGGAAATTATTTCTATGTGTCAGTGTGACTGGTGGTTCATAGATCAATAGGACAAGCACTGCCCAACTTTTTTTAAGCACACGCTTAAAAAGTACGTTCTACATACAAGTTTAATCTTATTCCATAAACCCCCAACCAGCATTAATTTAAAACAGACCAGAATAGGATGTTCTGGAGTGTGGGAGGGATATGCCTGCAAATGCAGATAGACCCACTAAACCGTTCATGCTGTGTCTTTCGAGGCAAGCATATAAAATTTTAGCGTTTTGAATCCATTAATGCGGTCATTTGACCAAGAGCACACCTTTGTATGTTTTGTGGAATAACCCCCACACCCCAAATTGCTATAGATTATACAAGTGGAATAGCTTACCTTATCAACAGGCTCTATAAGAAAATCATTGAAAAGGTACCACTGCTGGTGCGTAACACCCTAGAAAAGATAATGCAGATCAGAAGTGAAATAAATCCAGGAAAAAAAGAAAGAAAATATGAAGATCTTTAATGCTTAAAAATTCCAGTTTAGAAAGATCACCTGACCTCCTTTCTTTGGTGGTAGGTCTCTCCCACTTTTATATGGGCCACCAGGCTCCCACCTGTGCGTTGATCCAGGATATGAACAACAGTTGCTGTAAGGTCATACACATTTGTGTCTTCATCTGTTGCCTTTGTATTCAAAATAAGAGACCACCTTAATACAACCATATTAACAAATACACTATATACATGCTCCAAGTCTAGTTATAACTTGCATGTACATTAGCACATAGACTGTTGGATCAGTCTGACAACCTTGCAATATAGATATTACTTCTAAACAGAAGTTTCTGGGGGGAGGGGTTGGTTTACGGCAGTTACAGTTCTGTTTTGCAGAAGAATTGGCAAGGAAACTAGACAGAGACCCAGAGGTCCAATTCTGAAATATTGCCTACATGGTGGATGTAAACACACATCCCTCAAGAACTGTAGACTTTATATGCTGTAGGACTAGCATATTTTTTCAACTATTGAAGACCTATGGAGAAAAATGTAGTGATATGGAGATTTAAAAATGTTGCCATTAAAAAGAATAAACATATGTGGTAGGTCAGTGAAATCAGAACTAGAGTGGAAGCTTGTGAAATGCAAGTGCAAAGCTATACTTTGATTTGTGAGAAATCAATCTTGAAATTAAGTAAGCAGAATGGCTATTCTTTACCTCCTCAGTCTCCGAGCAGTTCAAAACCTCAAGCTTTTTGTCTTTGGAAAGCTTCATCTTGAGAGAATAAGGTATCCATACATTGCGCAGTTCTTCAACCGAAGGTGCATAAGGCGCACACGTCTCTGAACTGTACTCACCCCTAACAAGAACATAAAGATAACAAAATTGATCAAGGCCAGGTTTTCCTTTGAAAGAAACAGTAAATCAATGCAGTAAAAAGCTTTACAAGTAATGTACCATTGTCCAAAGACTGGCTCCTTGGGGGGAGGAGGTGGGGAAAACAGTTGTATATTTCCCAGTGCTTTCTTGAAGGCATACTAGAAAGGGGAGGGGGAAGGGAGAAAAAAAAAAAATGTTTAACTTACCAAAGTTGCAACACCACAATAATCTAGAATTAGCAAATAGCCAATACTTCTTACAACTATCAATCGAAGACTACAAATTGAGGGAGAGGGAGACACAGACACGGTTAACAGCAGCTCAATGTCTTAGTTGGCAATTAAACTGCCATAGCTGCTAAACAAAACCCCACGATATTTCAAACTTTACAAGCACCGCTTACAAGATGGCATATTATAACCCAGTTGACATTTTCCACAGTTTAACAGCAACATTTACCAATATAATAAAAATAAGGGTCACATTTCTTTTTTTCATGCATCATGCTTCCATCAGCTAGAGCACCAATAGGATTCATTTGAGATTAGACCAACATATAGTTTAAGCCTATGGTACAATGGTTCGGTCACAATTAACTGTACAGATTTTGACCTGCTCAGAAATGTTTACCAAGTTATAACAATAGATTGCATTCTTGATTTAACTTTGCTAAGATGACATTTTAAAGAGTGACACTATAGGCACCCAGACCACTTCATCTCTATGAAGTGATCTGGGTTTCATGTATCAGTCTGCTTAACCATGCAATGTAGAGCACTGTTTTTTTGCAGGGTTTAACTGCTGTGGCAGCCTCTGAAAACCACTAGAGGAGCTTCCTCTGAAATGGAGTAAAACTCATTTCTTTCAGATGGTTTCAGAAACCAACAGACGGGCACAGCCTGAAACGGCAAGAGGCGCTTGTCCATGCCGCTGTCCTCTCCTACTGTAATCCGCTTCTCAGTGATCTTACATGTTCCCAACTTGCCCAGTTACAGTCTATAATGAATACTGTGGCGAGGCTCCTCTTCCTGTCCACCCGCACCTTCCCAAGCCTTGCCTCTGTCAGTCCCTAAATTGGCTTCCCAAGATATAGGGCTCAATTTAAAGTTCTGGTACTCACAAATCTCCATAATGTTGCTCCTTCTTACCTACCTACAAGTATGTCCCATCAAGGCCCCTACGCTCTGACGAAAACATGTGTATCCTCTGCTCATAGTCACACCACTGATGTTCACCTTCTCTGGGGCTGCACAGTTCCTATGGAACGCCCTTCCCCTCTGTTAGACTTTCACCCAATCTTTGAAAACGTATTTCACTTTAAATGATATGCTTTAATAAGGAACAGCTTTCCATCCCCGCAACCTGATTCCTCTCCTGCAGCGGTCATCAAAACAAAACAATAAGCCCTCAATGAATACTATCCTAACAACCTACTTTTCTACCCTTATCTTTTGTGTCCCTATACCCCACTCCCTCTAGCATGTAAGCTCATCGAGCAGGGCCCTCAATACCTCTGCTCCTGTGCATCCAACCGGTCTGTTAGTCCACCCACTGTACAGTCCTGCACACACAGTCCCACTACTCTGGGCCAGCATCAATGACGAAGGTACACAAATGAGAATAGAGTTACTTGTGCACTATCCTAAATCCTGCTGTATATTTAAATAACTGGAGGTATCACTCCAATGGCCATTAGATTGCCTTGATGTGGCAGGTGAGCTTACAATCCAACAGCCATTAAAAATCTCCAGTTATGTAAAGATGCAGAGATTAGAGATAGTGTGCAAGTTACTCTTTTCTTTGGTTTTAAATTACAACTAACAAACCTGCAGAGAAATGTGGAAACCGTTCCAAATCTTACATGTCTATTCAAGAAAATCATTCATAAAGTACTTTGCAGATTAAGACTTTTAGAGAAAGTTTGATAAATTAAGCACAATTTGGACAACCAATATACAGTTTTATCCAACACATACCTCAGCTTGTGCTTTCCAGAACTCTTCCTCCTTAGAACTATTCACTTCGCAGTTTATAACCAGCACATCAGGAAGACGGCGAATATTCCGGGTCTGAACCTGTTAACAAGCTATTTTTAGGTCATAGAAAAGAGGAATACCTAGAATGTTCATTATTAAAAAGGCAGACCCAGGATGGCTGATCTACTCAGATACAAAGTATAGCAATGGCTACAAAACAGCCTGTAGCATGTAATTGAACATACATCCTCCCCATAACAGATTTAGTTTAATCACAAACTGAAATCAGTTTAGCAACCTAAATTCTGCCCTTAGACCAGAAATGTTGTAATAGAGGGCAAAGACCATGTAATACACGTATCACATTGCACTCCAGCATCAGTGTAGCGGATTTCATAGGAAAATAAAGTTTAGGTCAAATATGCAAATTCCAGTATGGGTATTTGAAACAAAACGTGTGCAATTTCCTGTCAAGTGACCAGTCCTGAGAGGGTTAATCAACAATGTGTGAAGTGTCATATTGACAAGTTAAATTTGTTAGATTACCAATTGTGCAGAAAACCATTCCAGGACTTACAGAAGGCTGGTATTTTTCACAGTTGTCACACCAGGCCTGGGTATTCTGCTCTGAGCAAATGCTTCTTCTCAATACCTCCACAAACTCATAGTTCTGAGGAGGTTTATCTAAAGCGAGGAGGAAAAAAAAACCACACACTTCAGTTTCTTTATTGGAGGACAGGGAGCCAACCTTGCACAAATATCCAATACAAAACAATCTACAGTGAAAACAGTTTCTGAAGTAGCCCTCAATAGAAAATAAGCTGTCCAATAAGTTACGCAGAAAGACTCTGCAATGTCTAGCAGTGAGACGGTTCAGAGATTGTCAATACATTTCTAGGTAGAGTTTCATTAGAGATAAGCGGAGATTCCCAACAGTGTTTGTCACGGCAAGGGTGCATTATTCATTGTTGCACTACGGAATATTGTCATTTATTGCAATTTGTATAGTGCATAGATGAACTGGCTGCTTGGTAGAGGTGGTATTGTCAATTCCAAAAGGGGTTAATTTGATTGTATGGGACCGCAGAAGGTTTACAGCCTAAATTCCTCTTTGAAGCTGGGACCCCAACAGAGCTACTCTGTAAGGTGTGAGAAGTCACATAAGGGGCCTGGAAGTCTAGTTTAAATATAAATTCTAATTTGCCATATGTCTAGATTCCCTCTTAAATTAGGGGGGTCCTTTGATATGTTAGTGGTCTTGTGTTCCAGTATCATACCCAAAAGAAACATTAATACTCACCCGCAGGTTAATTAAGCCTTATTTTATTAGATTTAGAATGGGACAAGCACAATCTGATAATCAAGCCCAAACAGGATTTGCTTAACTTAACCATAGAGAAAGGGATTGTGATGTCTGCTATATTGGGTCACAAGTATGGAGTATGAAATATCTATGGAATGGAAAAATTGTACATTCATAGGTGCAATTATTTCTGTGGCAATTACATAAGAGATAGAACCAAATGTTTCCATTAGGATTGATGCTGGTCTGGAACACAAGGGGTGGACACAATTACTAAAGGTACACCTTATCTCCACCTCTGGGTGAGGCTTGGTAATCCACAGGCTATATCCAATGATACTGGAGTGTGTATTGTACTTGCTTGGGGCCAAAATCTAATTTTGAGCGAGTCATCTTCCTTGCCAGAAGCTTTACTTTGAAAACCTAAGGAGTAAGTGATTAGGACATCTGTTATTTCATCCCTTTTGTTTTTATCTGTTGGTGTAACTAATTTGATTGTCATCTATATTTTTGTATGAACTGATTTTTTGCTCATAATAAATATTCCTTTATTAAGTTCTGCCTTTGTCTTGTTTAAAAAAAAAAAAAAAAAAAAGTCATGTTACCTGAAGAGACTAATTGCTTTAATATTGTGCCAAATTGTATTTGGTGGGTCATTAAATCATTAAGTTACCTGGAGGACCAAGGCACCCCATTTATAAATTGTCTTGGTGGCAGTTTTAAAATAGTAATATTTATTTTACTCACACCACTCCCCTCGGTCAGTCCTTACATTGGCTTCCTGTATTTTATAGGAGTCAATTCAAGGTACTAATCCACACTTATAAGCACTGACCAATTCTAGCCCCTCATATCTCTTTACGGATCTGCAGGTATGCCCCTTCTCGGTCTCTCCGCTCTGCCTATGACCTGTCTGCTGCTCGCACTTGTACAGCCAACTCACTTTCAGGACTTCACAGGTGGCTCCCTTCCTAAGGAATAGCCTGCCAACGACCATCACGCTCTCCCCTAGTCTTCAATCAATCATTTAAAAAGTGCCTCAAACCCATCTCTTTAGGAAAGCTTATGGCCTCCCAAAGTAACTTCTACCTCACATAACTGTCCTTTGCTCTCTCCTAAAGGGCAGCACTATTCTCTCCTCCAGCTCTGCTTCACTCCACCTTGCATGATTGCTACCTCCTGTCCTGTTTTTCACCCCACCTCCTATAGACCAAGCTCGTTTGAGAAGGGCCCTCTTCAATCTATTGTTACCGTAAGTTTTTGTAATGGTCTCATTTGTTAAATCTCCCCCTTTGATAATATTGTAAAGTGCTACAGAATATGCTGGCGCTATATAAATAGCAGTAATAACAATTGTTAAGTGTGGGTGGTGTTAAGGGGGATTTAGATCATCATTTCTGATCTAGCACAGACAAATAGTGAACTTTAACCCTTTCACCACCACACCTATGTCACGCACACTCTTGACGTAGGGTGCGTTTGTGACAGTGTTCTCTTGATGTTCTTGAAGACCGACAGGGATCCAAACTCCTTAAAGGTACACTCCAGGCACCCAGATCATTTTTGCCCATTGGAATGGTCAGGGTGCCAACTCCCACTACACTTAACCCTGCAAGTGTAATTATTGCAGTTTTCATAAACTGCAATAATTACCTTGCAGGGTTAACTCCTCCTCTAGTGGCTAGGTCTGCCCCATCTGATGACGTTGGCGGGGGGGGGAGGAGCGTGGGTGTACCCTGACCCAGCGCAGAGGGACATCAGCGCTGGATACAGGTAAGTCACTGAAGGGGTTTTAAAACAATCAGCAACATGGGATGGGAGGTGGGAGGAAGGGAGAAGGGGACCTGCAGTGCCAGGAAGACTTTTCCTGGCACTGGAGAGTCCCTTTAACTTTGCCATCCATTTAAATACAGGAGAAAATAAAATAAATAAAACCCCACGTGAAAATACAGTGATTATGAATGCACTGCATGGAGGAAGAAAGATTGGTTATTTACTAAAGTGAACTGTCAGAAATGCAAAGTTGATAAAATAAACTAAAAATTGCACACTCCTGATAAAGCAGGTGACTTGGAGGATTTTACTAATGTGGCAATGCTGTCTGGAATGTGACATTTACTTTGCAAGATTATTCACTAGATTGAATGTTAGCAATTCACAAATAAAGAACCCTGATTTTCTCTTGTGGGCATTCCCATTGGCCCTGAGAGGATACACCTGATCTAGCCACTGTTGCCAAAGAAAGTAAGAAAAACTGACATGTTACAAGCAGCAATGGGCATCTTATCGAGCTGTTATACTGTGATCACAATCTGCCAGTTACTAGTACAAAAAATTTTTTTTAAAAAGGGGAAGAACTTTGTCATCCCAGTATGTTCAACTTGCCTTTCAGTAGCCAGCGTTAAAGAGATCTGGTACACATCTGTGATGACAGATCAGTCATCACTGGTCAAGAACATTAAACCCCCTTATCCCAACTAGTTTCAATGTTCACATGTTAAGGAGTTACGCACCACTTTTAATATCTGGGTAGGACAGAGTAAAAAGCAGAGTTGTGGCTACACGCACAGTGTCTGTTCCACATCGGCACATGCTGCAGTTTTCCACTTCACATCCAAACAGCTGACCAATCACAGAACCTCCTGTTGATGTAAAAGAGCTAAAAACAAAACCCCGACAATTAGCATGTTCATTTAGGCAGAAGATAGCTGTAGAGTTAAAATGCCAAACATTAAGTTATTAAACCCAGATTTAAGGAGAGTGGAAGTGCAACAGTCCTGTACATATCATTTTATGGAAACCTATTTGTGCAAGCATGTACCTGCTGCTCCCAGCACCACGATAAGCTTGTGGCCCCTCCAGCTCCTGTGTTTCTTGATGGAGCTGGGTGAAGAGAAAACGGCACCAGCTCTGAATCAGACGTCCTATATTTGTTTTTCCAGTTGCCTCATCAGAATCAGCCAGGATCAACCCAAGGGCTGCTGCTTCTGGGATCGTTCGGAAAGCCCTCAAGAAGTTACTGGCCTTAGGGCAAAACATTTTAAAAAGTGTAAGACTTAATCGTTTTAGTAGGAAAAGATAAACACTGGTAGAATACCAGAAGACATTCTAAATTGATTTAAATCCCATTCATAAAAGCTGCCTGACCTGGCGAAATGTACGTTGGGGCTCAGCTCTGTCCTCTAGCCAGTGATTCCTATCCAATTGGAAGTTTGGGACAGTGGTAGATTCATTTCTCTGGCACATGTACAGAGCCTTTATTAATCCTAGCTGCTTTAAGATCAGTTAGATTTTACTTTTAACCACGGATGTGCTGAAAGCAGACATTTTACTAAGCAGCTAGATTACTAAATTAATTCTGCCAACATGTATGTTATTTGGACCAAATATTTCAGAGTTTGTCGTGTGACCACCACCTTTATATCTCAGAACTAGATAACTGTGCTCCATCAGCACTTTGCTGCAGGTTGGCAACACATACTCATTAGCTGGTCCTCCAGGGTAAGCTTGACAGCTGGACTGATCCATTTATTTCCAGGACCATCATCAGGTTTCAAAATACTCTGACAGCCATAGAGGTTCTGTATGTGAGATGTAAATAGGATCTGATATTTTGTTGCTCACTGATGGCGCAGTATCTCAGGCTGTGTTAGCCTGATCAAACTACCTGCCCTTCCAGCGCTACATTTAGAAGACATTGTCTAGGCGTTTATATTGGCATTGTATATAACCCCCTCACCCACCGACGCGGTTTAATTTTTGACCAGTCAATTGGATCTTGTATGGAGTGCTTAAAATCATTTTACTTATTTATTGAAAGCCAACTTATCTCTTACTGACCAATACGAAGCTGGTCCAGGCCTTTTTGTTCTGCTCCGGTTTTGAAATGACCATATCTAGGGTCAAGCCCTCTTTCTGCCAATTGACCTTTATACCTAGTGCTCCCACACTTGTTAGCTTTCTTACATTCACCCCAAAAAAAAAAAAAAAATGAGAGGAACACAAGTTGGTTTACTAAGATGGCAGCTTAACTGGCTTTAACCCCTTAAGGACACATGACATGTGTGACATGTCATGATTCCATTTTATTTCAGAGGTTTGGCCCTTAAGGGGTTAAAGAAATAAACTACACAATCCATAATTGTCTGTTTAAGACAGTGTTAGAAAATGGATTAGTCATAGCATTGACAATTTCTATTTTATTCTATGTTGGGTGAGCATCAAGCTGTTTAGTTCTAAAGAATAGTGCAGAGTTCCAGAACTGGGACAGTCACCACAGAATCCAAAGCAGACATTTAACTTGTGATTACTCAATTTGTACAACCTTGCACCACTTTTCTAAAAATAAACTGATAATTCTCCCTTGCTGTGATTACACATGAGGTAACATTCAAGTCAAACCAACTTATAACAAGGAGTTTTGTAATACAATAATTTTTCCAGGAACTCAAGCTTGACAAAGTCATAGCAGGTCAAAACTTTACGATTCCTTTTGTTGTATTAAAACTGCCTGCAGCTTGAACACCTTGACTGCCTGGAGAATTTGTTGTGTTATCGTTGTGGGATCGCTGGTAGTGGTTCGGAGTGCCGGGTGGCTGCTGGGATTGAATGCGGCTCCTATTATCATTTTTGCAAAGGTGTTTTGTAATGGCACATTCTACCATGATTTTAAAGAGTTAATCCAAGCAACATAACCACTTAAAATTACTGAAGTGCTCATGGTGCCTCGAGTCTGTATGTGAAGTGTTTTACAATGGAAAAACGATATAGATATTTAATGATGCCAATGTAGGTGTAAGATTCATTAAGGTACAATGAATGTAATACAGTGAGGGGAAAACATTTTTTGATCCCTGCTGATTTTGAACATTTGCACACTGACAAATAAATAATCAGTCTATAATTGTAATGGTAGGTGTATTTTAACAGTGAGACAGAATTCGTAATTGGTAAGGCATTTGATTTGATTAGCTAGGTGCTTGCTATTGATTGGTTAGCTTGTTTTCAAAAAAGCATATGCCTACCCAGGTGTTAAACATTACTAGTGGGTGGTGCTTTTAGGAGTTATAAGGGTTGTGGCCATTAGCTTGGTTAATATAGCTCGGTTGCTGGTTCTAAGTGTGTGACTGGAGATAAACTGGAGGTAATATGAGGTATACAGGAGGACAAGTAAAAAAAAAAAAAAAATATTAAGGTTTGATTTAAAATTATTCACCTCATTAAAATGGCAGACTTAATTCAGTGTAATAGTTATGCATTTGTTTCATGTTCCACTTTTTGGGGATTTGGATGCTGTCTAATCTGTAGACAGTTCTCTATATTGCGGCAGGAGATTGTATTTTTGAAGTCTGAGATTTGTAAATTATCTGGTGAACAAACGCAGACTGGAACGGCTGCAAAGCCACTGCTGCAGAGACATACTACGAATGGCAGATGGATTACTGTAGGATCTGGTAGACTTAGAGTTGCGGATAAGAGGCATATTGCACAGTCTGTTGCTCTGCATAATTTATTTTCGAGTGTAGTGGTGCTGTGAAGACAGGCTTGAAGACTATGGTCAGGCCCAATAGAAAGCAATTGTTGGGGGGATTCTATCATAAGTGTGGAGCTGGACAATAGTGGTCTTGTGAGAAGTCTTCCCAGAGCTACGAGACGTATTTGTAATATTGTTAAACGAGGGACATCGAGGGACAAATGACTTTGCTTGCAATCAGGTTTCAGAGGCAAAGGAAGTTTTTAGTGGGTTTTTGCCAATGCTATATGGCAGGTTGCTTCCCCACTGTCATTCTCTGAATTTCTCCCTGTACACAACACTCATAATGACAGGCGGATGCGTATTAGGGACTTTAACTTGTGGCTTGGTAAATGGTGCCGGGAGCAATGATTTGGCTCTCATGGTAGCTCTGTTTGGAATAGAACTGGACAAAAAAGATGGTTCGCATCTTTCTCAAAAAGGGAACAAATTCTGAGTGAGCAGTTCAGAGGTTTTGCGAAGATGTATTTAAACTAGGAGGGGGCAAAAGGGTGATAAGACAATCCAATTGCCCCCTAAAACGAGGACAGAAAGTAACGAGTGTTGACAAATGCTCGCAGTTTAGGGAATAAGATCCATGAACTTGTGGCAATAATGGTAACTGATAATGTAGATTTAGTCACTGTTACGGAGACATGGTATAATGAGAAAAATGACTGGGACATAGCAATACCAGGGTTCTCTTTATATAGAAAAGACAGGGAAGGCAAGAAAAGGGGAGGGGTGGCCCTGTATGTGAAGTGTAACGGCACCCCGAGGCATAAAAAGGGGTTAACAGCCGTTTAGGAGATATTCCCTTCCAGATATACAGGCAGCTACTGTAGACACAAATCCACCGAACCGGAGAAGCATATGAATGCTCTCAAACATCCAAATAGGAAAAGCCATACGAATAGGTTTACACTCCTAGCAGTCGAACTAGAACAGCATACAATAAATCCCCCCAGAAAGAGACAAGGCTCCGTTTTGTGGGTCAAGCAGGAACAGAGAGCTGTGGGTTTATGGTTCTTATACACACATTCTTACACATTAGTACCACCCACAGGGTTTTGGAAAACAACCACATACAATACACTCAGACACTCCCACACAAAATCCTCCCCTCTGCCTGTGATACAATTACTGTACACAATGGGTAATGTAATTATCACAGGCAGAGAAACAGTTTTTCCACATTATTCATAATTTTAAAAGTATGCATCACATTCACATAACATTACATTTTCAGAATCAGCATACTCCAAATACAAACATTTGCAAAATCATACAAATTGGTCCAGTGGTTCAAAAGATAGATTGTAGTCCTTTGTGACCAAATGAAGCATGGCTTTTCTGCCCAAAACCAGTTCCACAGAGTCTTCTATCATGGAGATAATTGGGAAGTAATCCAATTATCTCCAAGGATTGAGGCAAAACTCCATTGAACACATGGCAGCAAAAGACAATAAAATACATCAAAATATATAACTGTGCAGCCATTGCATAAAACAGGTACATTCAACATATCCCCAGATAGCTCAGATCTCAGCGCACATTACTGAATGGCGCTCAGATCACACACATACAATTCAAATGCCATGGAGCCAAAGTCTATCCCATAGTCTCATTATACGAATGAGCTCCATGGCATAGCTATCTGGGGTATCACCTCTAAAACAGGGCAAGCACCGAATGACCTGGCTTTCGTGTCTTTGCAGGGGAAAAATCAAGCGTTTCAACATGGGGCCATAGTCTAAAGACAGCAGGAGGGCAACCAGGCTCCTCCAATGCACAGCGGCAAGATTGGTCTTGTCACATGAAGGATAGCATAAAATAGAGCCTAATAAAAGTTAGTGAGGCGAACATAAAGTCAGTTTGGGTTAAGTTAGAATTTGGTAATCACACAGTTACTTGTGTAGGTGTGATTTATAGGCCCCAGGACAAATAGGGTTCGATAATCTACTAGTTGAGGAAATAGCTAAAATGACAATGAAGGGGGAAGTTATCATGGGTGACTTTAATCTTCCTGATGTGTATTGGAAAACCAAAATAGCTGCTTGTGCCAGGAGCACACATTCTAAACTCTGACTGGGATTGTCTCAAAAACAAGTCATTCAGGAGCTCAATGGAGATTTAGGATCAGATATTACTGTAGATGAAAGTTTAGGATCCAGTGATCAGTCAATGTGGTTTAATATAAGAACAGTGACTGAGTCACACCACACAAACAAATGTTTTAGACTTTTCTAAAATTAGAATATGTGTAAAGGAGTCATTATCAGACTGGAGCAATTTAAATTGAGTCCAAAAGAAATGGGATTATTTAAAAATTGTACTACTGAAGGCAACAGAAAGTTGCATTAGGCTTGTCAGTAAGAGCAAGAAACCACTGTGGTACTCCACAGATATGGCCAAAATAAAACAAAGTTAGCATTTAGTAAATAAAAAAAACACAGACAGTGAGGAAGATAGACAGATCTATAAAATTAGGCAGAAAGGGGCTAAGCAAGTTATAAGAGCTTCCAAAAATCACAGAAGAGAAAATAGCACAGTCAGTAAAAAGAGGGGACAAAACCATTTTCTAGATACATCAGTAAGAAGAGGAAAGTAAAACAAGGATTAGATTAAAAACAAGGAGGAAGGTATGTAGAAGTGGATAAAGGTCTAGCTGACTGTCTCAATGAATATTTTGGTTAATTATTTACAGATGAATATAAGGAAAGGGGCTTCAGTTAGGAAAAAGGACAAATGAGTGATTTATTACACGTGAGTTTACAGAGGAAGAGGTTCTATTTCAACTGTCAAAAGTAAAGACCAATAAGTCAATGGGACCTGATGGAATACACCCAAAGCTATTAAAAGAGCTTAGTGGTGTACTAGCAAAACCATTAACAGATTTATTTAACCAGTCATTGTTAACACGAGTAGTCCCAGAAGATTGGAAGTTAGCAAATGTTGTGCCTATTCACAAGGTAATCGGGAGGAGTCGGGCAAATATAGGCCAGTAAGACTTACTTCAGTAGTGGGGAAAGTGATGGAAACCATGTTAAAGGATCGGATTGTTGAACATCTAAAATCACATGGATTTCAATATCAAAGACATGGGTTTACTTGAGGGAGATCATGCCAAACTAATCTTATTGATTTGGTAACTAAAATAGATCAGGGTGGTGCATTAAACATTGCTTACCTAGATTTCAGTAAGGCTTTTGACACTGTTGCACATAGAAGGCTCATCAATAAATAAGTTTGGATTCCAATATTGTTGAATGGGAAGGGCAGTGGCTGAGTGACAGGCAACAGAGGGTTGTAATCACTGGAGTATATTCGAAGCATGGGATGTCACCAGTGGGGTACCTCAGGGATCTGTACTTGGACCCATTCTCTTTAATATTTTTATTAGTGATATTGCAGAAGGTCTTGATGGTAAGGCATGTCTTTTTGTTGAGGATACTGATATGTAACAGGGCTGATGTTCCAGGAGGGATAAGCCAAATGGCAAGTGATTTAGGTAAACTAGAAAATTGGTCAGGGGGGCGGAGCCAGCACCGGAGAAAGCAAGACGCACATTGCCATAGCTCCGTCTACAAAAGACTGATATCGGGGAAAAAGTCCACACCGCCGAGTACCAAACAGCTCCAGGTGTGTCCTATGACATGGGGAAGAAAAGAAATCCCGAGCACAGGTTCCTGTATATCGGAACTTATATGCGCACGGCCATGCGGCCCGACTTTTCCCAAGATGGCGCGGGCTGAGGCCTACTCCTCTCCTTCGGATGACGACAGTCTGCTAGCCGACCTACAAACAGCGGCTCCGGCCCTGACAAAGCCCATGGCACCCAAGGAGATGGGAGATGCGGCTCCGGCCACGAAAACCGACATAAAGGCCCTGACGAAGGACATTCAAGCCATGTTCCAGGCCGATATGGCGCAGGTACGAGTGGAAGTCTCCACGTTCACCAGCAAGGTGCACTCAGTGGAAGAAACTGTCCAAAATATCAGTGCTGCACAAACGAACACTGATACAGCGTTACACTCACTGCAACAGCAATGTAATTCACTGACAGCACAATTAGCCAACATGGAGGACAGAACTAAAGCTCGCAATCTGAGAGTCCGAGGAATCCCCGAAACGATCACTGCGGCTGAGCTGCCTCACTATTGCAGACGGCTTAAAGCCACTCTTCTCCTGCCTAAAACAAGCAACACAGCTAGGAATCGACTCCTGCTTTCACCTACCCAGGGCCAGCAAAGCACCAAAAGAAGCCCGAAGTGATGTGCTCATAAAATTTGTAAGGGACTCAGACCGGGGGTGCTTATGGGGGCCCGCTAAAGGCTCTCCAACGGTTCCCTTCGAGGGGGCACACCAAGCGTTTTTCAGGGACTATGCCAGACATACCCTAACATGGAGGAGATCCTTTAAGCAAATCACACAGCAGCTCCGGGACCAATCTATACCATATAAGTGGGGACCGCATCGCCTACTGGTGGAAAGGGAAGGCAAAGTACACTCTTCTACAAATCTCCAATGCTCCCAACTTCCTCGAGGCTCTCGGGGTGCCGACTAACTACCAGCGGTGCAGGGCACAACATGGAATGTGGCCAATATCAGACCCTTCGTACCAAAGGGACTTTAGCCACGCACCTCTGAACCTCCCGCCTGAGGGCGACGGCTGCTGTCAAGCCGGGACTCAATGTTTACAAGTTTAAGTTCAGTTATCACCATATAACTCCACAGCCACACTAACGTGATGCCCGCTAAAGTTAAAGTTTAATTTTACCTCCAGTGTTCTAGTTTAAAACCACCCATACCTTCCAACTGGCTCCAAAAGCATATAGCCAGATACCCAGCCTAGAATAACCCCCCCCTCCCCCCCCACAACTTTAATTGGGACGTGCAATGCTCACTCACACTTGTACAAGCGACCAGTAACACAAGACAGACCTACCACGACCTGCATTTACACCAGCCACCATGAAACCTGCCTTAGGTCACCGACTACTCCCCTGACCGAGCGACATTTCACTAACACAGGCGCCTTAAGAAATCAATCAATATGCCTAATACTAAGAGACCAGGGCGCATCCCGCTCCTAGCAAGCACCCTCTAACCCAAAGAACACCTATCATGGCTCAGGCATGAGGGAACCTAGCCAGACAAACATTTATTTTTTAAAAAGGGTTAACATACTGCATGTGTTGATGTACTGCATCATGAAAATGTACTATACTATTGTTTGTTCATCTTCTCTTTGACACCAACTGAAAAGCTTTGTATTTCTATAACCGTAAAAATAAAGAATAAAAAAAAAAAAAATGGCTGTGGCAGCTGACATTTAATGTGGATAAGTGCAAGATACTGCATCTTGGATGTAAAAACCCAAGGGCAGAGTACAGAATATTTGAGAGTCCTAATCTCAACATCTGAGGAAAGGGATTTAGGGGTGATTATTTCTGATGACTTAAAGGTAGGCAGACAATGTAATAGAGCAGCAGGAAATGCTAGCAGAATGCTTGTTTGTATAGGGAGTTATTAGCAGTACAAAGAGGGAAGTGCTCATGCCATTGTACAGAACACTGGTGACACCTCACTTGGAGTAGTGTATGCAGAGACTATCTCCAGAGGAATATTTATACTTCTAAACTGGTTCATGGATTGCAGGATAAAACTTACAAGGAAAGGTTAACGGATCTTAACATGTATAGCTTGGAGGAAAGATGAGACAGGGGGGATATGATAGAAACATTTAAATCCATAAAGGAAATCACAGTTAAGGAGGAGACTATTTAAAAGAAGAAAAACTACCACAACAAGGGGACCATCTTAAGTTAAAGGCACAAGGGTTTAAAAATATAAAGTATTAATTTACTAAGAGGTTAGTGGATGCATGGTGTAACGGATCATCTGGCACCCTGACTGGGTACCGCCGTTGAAGGATGCTCCTAGCGCTTCCTGAGGACGCCAAGCACTGCAGCAGACACCACAACCACCGAACCGGAGAAGCATAGGAGTGATTTTAAGCATATGAATGTTGTGTACAGTCGAATAGGAAAAGCCATGCGAATAGGTTTACACTCCTAGCAGTCAAACTGGAACAGCATACAATAAATCCTCCCCCAATAATGAGACGACGACACTTCACTTTGAGGGTTAAGCAGGAACTGACTGTACTGGCACATACAGCCTCTTATTCCCAATCCACAAATTTAGTACTGCCCACAGGGTTTTACAGAACAACCAATCTGTACAATACACACAGACACTCCCACACACAATCCTCCCCTCTGCCTGTGATACAATTACCTTACACAATGGGTAATCTAATTATCACAGCCAGAGAAATACAGTTTCATAAAACATCACAGGGACCCCAAAACATGCAATAATCCCATAAAAGTATCCTTGGAACCGGGAATCTGGGTGAACCACATATCCAAAATTCAGCCAGATCCGTTCAGTACTTTGGAAGATACAGTTTAATGCAGATTTTACAGAACATATGCAGGCTATATGAAAAACAATTACTGTATAAGGTGTCCCCTGTTGTATAGGCCAAAACCACTGCACGATGTCTCTGTGCACCAAATACTGGCAAGATGGCACCGTGTTGAAAAGTCCAAACAGTGTCCGAGTTAAAATGGCCGCCATCCATTGTTCTCACCATGTGCTTCATCCATTGTTCTCACCATGTGCCTCTGATACAGGAAATGGTGGCCACCCAGTAACTCCACAGTATGTCCCCAGATGGTCCTTAAAGGGCCAGCAGCACAACACAAATCCATTATGTCCAAATCATGTCTTTAAAGGGCAATACATCCCAGGGGCCATAGTCACATGGCAGGAGGCTGGCAATCAGTCTTCTCCAATGCCCAGTTTCACCACATTACTCCCCTTTCCCAAAAAGACTAACAAAGTATCTGACCTCCTGTCAGTCAGTGCCTTGGTTAGTCCCGCAACCCACCCACAAAACAGAATCCGCAGTATAACCCACCCACGAAAATTGGTTACTACACCTGGAGTAGCGGGTCGCTTGTCCAGGTCCAGGAGCTCCACCTTGGCTCTGGGGGGTACTAGCACTCTTGATTGATGGGATGCTGGGTGGGCAGAGACCAGCGGTACTCTGCCCTGGTGCCAGCGCTACCACAGGAGTAGCCTGGTTGGAGCCCAGGTGAGGGAACGTCATAGTAGGCGCCTTACTCCAGACCTGGGTCTGCTGCTGGAGGGGAAGCCAGGCTGTCTCCCCTTTGGATAAACAGCCCTGCTGCATGGGGACAGGACCGACTGTCCCTACACCCTGTGGTTTGGGCACAGAGACCATGGTCCCATCTGCACCGGTGTGGGATTTATCATCTCCCCTTGGTGGGCTAGGCTGCCGCTGGGGAGGGGGAACGAGACTCTCCCCTCCTGGTAGAATACTCTGCCGCTGGGGAGCAGGACCGACTGTCCGTACTCCCTGTAGCTTGGGCGCAGAGACCATGGTCCCATCTGCGCCGGTGGGGAACTTAGTGTCTCCCCTTGGTGGGCTAAGCTGCCGCTGGGAAGACGGGTAACAAGCTTCTCTCCCTTGCACACTTTCAGTCGCTGGGGAGGGGAGACACTGCTCTCCACTCCCTGCATTTCACACTGCCGCTGGGGAAAGGAGACAGCTCTCTATTTCCTGCAAATCAATCTGCTGCTGGGTATCTGAGCCAACCACCCAGCATCCCTGTAGCTCACCCTGCCGCTGGGGAGGAAGGACGCTACTCTCCTCTCCCTGCAAGGTACACTGCCGCTGGGGAGGGGTGACTATGCTCTCCACTCCCTGCACTTCACACTGCCGCTGGGGGTCTGGGCCGACTGCCCAGCATCCCTGTAGGGCCAGTAGAGAGACCGCCGTCCCATCTCCGGGTCTTCCCAGGACCAGTCTGAGATCTCAACATTTGCGAGTAAGGACCACCTGCTTCCGCACCTCGCAACTCCGGCTGCTGCTGGGGATCTGGGCTGGCTGCCCAGCATCCCGGTGGAGATACCTCGGTTCCATCTCCACCTGCCTGTTGTGGTTCCTCACAGGACCAGTCTATGAGGACCCCTACATCGGGTTCCTCCGGCCGCCTCAGGGGGAGATGGCTAGCCTCCTCGAATGCAGCCTCTACTCGGCTGCTGTAACACTCCTTCTGCTGAGCATACGCTCTCTCTTTCGCCAGCCGGAATTCTCGGGCCAGCCTTGTGTTTCGCTCGGCCGTAATCTGGTTCCAGATCACCCGGCGTACCTCCATGGGTAGATCATCCCCATACTGGGCCACTCGCTGCCTCACCTTGGCCATCCAATCATCACCAGAGCCTTCCATACTGGTCTGCTCCAAGTCGCAGGATACCTCTGCCCCAGGGGCGCTGCACGTGTGCTAGCGTTGCCCTCAATTTGTAACTCCACAAACTGTGTCTGAGCTGCTTTACCTCGCACTAGGACGCCATCCCACCGCCTGCCACCAATGTAGCGCATCACCTGGCACCCTGACTGAGTACTTCCGTTGAAGGATACAAGCAGACACCACAACCACCGAACCGGAGAAGCATAGGAGTGATTTTAAGCATATGAATGTTGTGTACAGTCGAATAGGAAAAGCCATGCGAATAGGTTTACACTCCTAGCAGTCAAACTGGAACAGCATACAATAAATCCTCCCCCAATAATGAGACGACGACACTTCACTTTGAGGGTTAAGCAGGCACTGACTGTACTGGCACATACAGCCTCTTATTCCCAATCCACAAATTTAGTACTGCCCACAGGGTTTTACAGAACAATCAATCTGTACAATACACAGACACACCCACACAAAATCCTCCCCTCTGCTTGTGATACAATTACCTTACACAATGGGTAATCACAGACAGAAATACAGTTTCATAAAACACATCACAGGGACCCCAAAACATGCAATAATCCCATAAATCCTAGTGGCGAGGTCGGTTTCCCCACACATGGAATAGCCTTCCAGCTGAAGTGGTAGAGGTTAACACAGTAAAGTAGTTTAAGCATGCGTGGGATAGGCATAAGGCTATCCTAACTATAAGATAAGGTCAGGGACTAATGGAAGTATTAAGAAAATTGGGAAGACTAGATGGGCCAAATGGTTCACATTCTATGTCTGTTTCTATGAATAAAACAAGAAATAAAAATCCAGAAAAAAATGCATGTCAAAAAAGTTTAATTTGCATGTCAATGAATGGAAAAAAATACTTAACCCCTTTGATTTAATACTGGGTGGCAAAACCCTTGTTGGTAATAACAGGTCAGACGTTTCTTGTAGTTGGCCACCAGGTTTGCACACATCTCAGGAGGGATTTTGTCCCACTCCTCTTTGCAGATCCTCGCCAAGTCAGTAAAGTTTGAGGCTGACGTTTGGCAACTTGTACGTTCAGCTCCCTTCAGATTTTCTATGGGATTTAGGTCTGAAGACTGGCTAGGCCACTCCAGTACCTTAATGTGCTTATTTTTGAGCCACTGTTGCCTTGGCTATGTGTTTTGGGTCATTGTCATGCTGGAATACCTATCCACAACCCATTTTCAATGCCCTGGCTAAGGAAAGGAGGTGCTCAAAGATTTGACGGTATGTGGCCCTGTCCATCATACCTTTGAGGCAGTGCAGTGGTCCTGTCCCCTTAGGAGAAAAAAACAAAACCCCAAAGCAAGTTTACATGCTTGAAGGTGGGATGGTGTTCTTGGGGTCATAGGCAACATTCCTCCTACTCCAAACATGGTGAGTTGAGTCAAGGCCAAAAAGCTCAATTTTGGTCTCATCTGACCACAACACTTTCACCCACTTCTCCTCTGAACCACATTTATTGGCTAACTTCAGACAGGCCTTTAGACGTGTCTTGAGCAGGGGACCTTCAGGGCGCAGTGTGTTGCCAATAGTTTTCCTGGTGACTATGGTCCCAGCTTCCTTGAGATTAGCAAGATCCTCCTATGTAGCTCTGGGCTGATTCCTCACCATTCTCATGATTGAAACTCCACGAGGCGAGATCTTGCATGGAGCACCAGACCGAGGGAGAGGGACCATTATTTTGTGTTTCTTCCATTTGCGACTAATCACACCAACTGTTGTCACATACGCACCAGGCTGTTTGGCGATTGTCTTGTAGCCCATTCCATCCTCGTGTAGGTCTACAATCTTGTCCCTGACATCCTTCAACAGCTCTTTGGTCTTGGCCATGGTGGAGAGTGGAATCTGATTGCTTCTGTGGACAGGTGTCTTATTCCGGTTGAGAAAAAAAATCTTGCTGGTTGATAGGGGACCAAATACTTATTTCACACATGCAAATCAATTTATAACTTTTTGACGTGTTTTTCTGGATTTGTTAGTTATTCTTTCTCACTGTAAATACACCTACCATTAAAATTATAGACTGATCATTTGTCAGTGGACAAACATTCAAAATCAGCAGGAGATCAAATACGTTTTTCCCCTCACTGTATGTGGAGTAGAGTTGCATAATTAAAGGAGACCCCATACACCAACATAAATACCCAGGAGAGATTTGGAAGTAATGATCAGTTGACTCAGTTAAAGATTTTATACATTTCAGGTTTACATAGAAGAGTTTCTAAATAGCATAGACTTACTTGGCAAGGGTCACCTCGGGACAAGTCAAGCATATGAAACAAGAAGCCTAGCTCACAACTCAAACAGAATTCTTTTTGGCACAGGTGGTTTTGTAGCAGGCATCTGATTGGTTCCATCAGGTACGTCACCTGGAATGTAAAGATTAAGACATGCCACTGGAGTTTTTTTTTTTTTATCAGATACAGTGAGTAATTTACAATATTTCTGTAGAAAAATCAAAGTAGCAACATGTGAGACAGCTCTGAGTGGCATGTGTCCATTGCATAATTATCCTGTGAATACCTGACCATTTGATACTTTATATAGTATGATGAACAGTAGAAGTATGCCAATGGTGTGAACACTAACAGCCAAGTGGTTGTGTTAGGCTCATATAGTGATCACAAAGTGTTAGTGCCAAATTAAAAAGGCCCTCAATACATAAGCTCATCAGGATTACATGAGTGCCAAAAGCGACAGTGTCAATTGTTTCATCCAGAAACCACAAAGAAAGGTAAAAACTCAAGATAGAATTGTTTTTTTTCCACAATTGCCAGTTTAGTAGTAAGTCAAGAACCTACTATGCAATGGTTTTATTCAAGATCACACTTTACCTGTATCATGCAGTTGCAGTAGGCGTTGGGAATATGAGGCTCCAGGCCAGCAAATAAGGTTTTGTTGTAATGCTTAAAGTCAAAGTCTTCCAGACCAAGTTTTGAATATTTAATGGTCACCTGCATATAAAAAAAAAATTACTTTTTTTTATATACACACACACACACACACACACCAAAAAGTCAGGGAAGGGAGTGTCGCAGTTCACAGACGACTATGCCCCATCAACAGGTGTTTCTATATGCAGCCATGCACCAAGTGAAGCTTAACCCTTTAAGGACACATAATGTGTGACATGTCATGATTCCCTTTTATTCCAGAAGTTTGGTCCTTAAGGGGTTAAGGTAACAGAACAAAAAGCACAGGAGCCTTGGCTGAGCAAAGTTGCAAAAGTCAGAGACTTATATAATGAGATAAGGTGTAGTAGTAAATGTTAAAGGGGGACTGCTGAAAAAGTAAGCACAGAACCTTGCGGTACTTTTTTGCCACCATGTAGAGATGAGGCTCTTCTTCTCGCCCAATTGGAGATTCTGGAACTTGGCTGTAATCATATTCATTGTCCAGTTGATATGGTACCTTTAAGACATTGAAGAAAATAGGGAAAGAATAAGTCACAAACATTTAGAAGAACATTGTGCTTACTCAGTAAAGTTGTTTTTTTTTTTTAAAAGCAACTTCTCCATGCTTTTGCATTAGTACCACCCACCGTTCTCTTGTACAGCGTGTTTGTGCATTATAGTTACAGAACATTAAACGATGGATGCGTAGCTTGTAGATAGTTCTAGAACAGGGTTGTCAAACATGCGGCCCCCCAGATGTTGCTGAACTACAACTCCCATGATTCCCTGGCTGTTTCATTGAAAGAATCATGGGAGTTGTAGTTCAGCAACATCTGGGGGGCCGCATGTTTGACAACCCTGTTCTAGAACATCAAAACATGCAAGTCTTACACAATCTTATCTGTATTTGTGCCATTAATATAAATGGTCAAATGTCCTGCTTTAGACTGAGGAAGTTGGAACTTTTGGATGCAGACTACTAAAATGACAACAAGTCTTTACATGTGCATGACATCCACATGCAATTCCAGTTACAGGAAGCATCTACCATACAAGGCATTACAGGTTGCCACTGACTTGACTTAAGCAGGTTTAGTTTGTTAATTCCTTCCTTTCCAGTCCTAAAGTGTTCAGTCATCCAGAAGTAGCAGAAGCAAACCTGATTCCGTAGTCTTGTTCTAGGGTTTGGAGAGTAGCCAATAAACCCTACTTGCTTCATGTTGCGCAAGATCTCAGGATCAACAGGAGGAGCTTGTCTAAAGACAAAAAAGGATTAATGGTAGTTTTATCAATAGCAACTGCTCAAAATTAAGTTTTACATTTAACACTGCTCAACAAGTTACACTACTGTTTTTTTTGTTTTGTTTTTTAAAAAAGGTGTACTGTAGCCTTTACCCATTTAATTATAATGTAGAAGGCAGTTTTCCAGGAGACCAACATTTTCATATCTAGATTACAACTGCAGGGTTTTTAATCAACACTTTAAATATGAACCCCCACCTCCTTTAAATACCGAGGTGCTGGAGTACAGTTAGAAGCAGGCCAGTCTGATAGAAGAGAATCAGTTGTCAGAGGCACAGGAATAAGGGAAAGCGGTAAAAGATCTTGATTCCAATCCAAATGTGGCAAGTTGTCCACAATGCAGGGTATTGCAAATTCTGTGGCCCGAGAGTAGCCATTGAATACTGCTTCAGGAGTGGTCGACCAAATATGAACAATGCCATCAGAGTCCCCAAATGCGAGCACCTGCTTGCTAGTAGATACATTAAATGACATGATTGCTTGGCTCACTGTGCTGACATGGAAGATGTCTGCAGGACTGGCAAGACCAGTGGGTTCACAGAACTGACACTGACCTGTAGAAAGAGAAAACAGTTAGGGGTCTTCTGAGAGGTTTCTTGAAAGGTTACTCCAACCACCATGACCACTTCAGTGATTTGATATTATCATGGTGGTAGGAGTCAGTAAGTGAAGTGTTTCAGCATGACACTGCACTTCGTGAGGTTTGTAATTATGTGCTGGGGTAGTTGCATTTTACACAGGTAAGGTCACCCTCAAAAGGGATTTACGTAACCCTTTAGTGTGAAGGGAGGGGAAAGAAGAGTCTTACCCTGCTGTGAGATGATTGCTAGTCGTGAGGTATATGTCGGAACAAACCGCAGAAAAAGGGGATCTACGTGGACCTGAAGAGGAGTGATAGCTCGCATCATACGCAGGTCATATACTTTTAGGAAACGGTCACAAGTCAATACATTCATGCGACTGGAGAAGCCACAGGTCACTACAAGGTTTCCATGAACATCAAAGTCAGACAAGCTGCCAGAATATACATCAAATTCATGTTCCATGTTGAATGTACGTAGATCACAGAGTGATAACTAAAATAAAAAAAATAAAAAAACATTTTTAAACAGCTATAAAGATAGTCAAAAAACCCAGCCAACATGGGGGTTCAAACTGCCCTGTTATAACTATCCATTTCATAATAAGTATCAAGCAAGCACAATTTAGCAACATTCTGTTTTCAGCATTGTTTAATTAGAATGCATGATAAATTAATATGTTAACCACCAGTACCTTTCCTGATGAATACCCGCAGAAAAAGAAGCGGTTGGATTGCCTCATGACTGTAATTCCAGGGTCCTCTGTGACATACTAGAATTGATAATATAGGCATTAATAATTATGTAACACGTAAAGAGGCATGGTTAAGAAATCACTGACTAGATGCCATTGGAATTTCAATGCAATCTAAAAGATATTAGATTAGGAACTACTTTGATGAGCAATCCTAAATTTGACAATAGACAAACAGCTTCAGAAACAACTTGTCAAAGAACAGTAGCAATCTGGCTCATTGCTAGACATGTTCTGTTGAAGCAACTGCAGTTATGCTGGATCCTCCTCACATGCATGAGAGTACAGCATTAATGGGTTTGCTGGTACATTGTGCTAAGGGGGAGGAACAATATTAGAATGTTCTATTTAAACTGTATATCCTTTACTTCTATACAATTAGAACTTTACAGAGGTGAGAACTGAAGGGCAAAGCTCAAACAGAAAATAAGTGAGCATCCAATGCCACAGCCAGAAATCCACATTTAATTTGGGATAAAGTTGAGGGGGGAAACCCCACAGAGGAACTAGTTGTCCTCTATAGGAAGAGACCGGGTGCAAAATGACTGCAGAATGGCCTGTCACAATTCCATTTAAGATGCCAGGCAGTTGGGATCCAAAAATCAATTTCTAAGACAATGCCAACCCAGGCCAAGTAAGGATATTTAAAGCCTTTATACCAGGCTGGTAACAGCTACAAGAACACTATCCAGTGTATTTACTGGAAGGCACTCAATCTGAACAGGTGCCATAGAAATCATAAAGGCAGACTTGTATCGCAAGTAGATACTTTGCACACCATCTTATATACTAGGCCCATAACTACAGTCTATTTATACCACAACTACAGCTGCCTTGATGGAACACCAGCCACCACAGAACCAGCTCATTGATTTGCCTATAGGTTTAGATCATGTATTTTTATGTTGAATGGCTAAGCTCTGCATGTACAGGCACTTTTAGCTGACAAATGCTCATGTTTAGCTACCTAGTTGCACAGGCTGAAAAAGAGACATCCATCTATCAAGTTGAGCCGCTTACATTAGTTTTTGCTATTGATTGAGTTGATTAGCATTCGCCTACATTTAGATTTGTTGGAAGCAAAATGCAGATATGAAAAAAAGTCAAATAGATTTGGGATAAGTATGCACCGAGCTGCATAGTTCATCTGAATGAAAGCAGTCAAGATTGATTAGATCACAGTTTGCTAGATGGTTTCTGCAGTCTTGCGCAACTCTATTTTAGATGAATTCTTTACCCGGTTTGTTTCCTGCACAGTACTCAAGTCCATCTCAATAACATAATTTTGCATCCCTCCCATGAGCAGCATACTACTGTCTGTGAGAAGCATGCTGTGGTTGTCCACACTTTCGTCCATCCTATGGTGAGAAAAGAAAATTTAAACAAAGATACTCAGACATGGTAAATTATTCATACAGGTAAGACTTGCGACACTTGTAAAGTTCAGAGAAACCACCATGCCTTATGCACCCCAAATGGCTGCCTGAAGATTAGAATGTTTAAAGTTTTTCAATAAGAAGTCTATTCAATTTAGAACACAAAATCACCACATATCCCCCAGACATTTAGCAGAAGAGGGATAATTTAATGTTAATTACTCACAGGTAGTCAAACATGGTAAGTCCTCCACGGGTCATACATCTCAGATTGTTTTTGGTGAGGAACATGACCCCTGTCTGCAAACTCTGAATCTGTCGGATGTCATTGCTGGCATGTATTTGGAAGGAGGAAAATCTCTCAAGGGTAGGACTGAAGAATGAGGTAGCATGGCCCTGTAAAAGGAGAAGGACACGATTACCATAAGCAATAGATACTTTAGTACACTTTCCTTGCTGACCCAATTCTCCAGTCATACAACCTTTTCAAAGATCATGTAATGTTAAAATGTAAAGTTATGCACATTATACAAAGCCAGGCAATTTAACTTTAACAGTGAAAAAAACAAAACAAAAAATCCAACAACTCTTCTTTGAGGAGTGGTTTTGGCTGTCAACCAGTGATTAGACAAGGGAAAACGTTAAGATTTACTTGAAGTTACAACCTATAGTTTCCCGTTTATCTAAAAGTTTGATTGATTTTGATCACAATTTAACAGTTTGGTTGTTATACAGGTTAATATGGATATGGAAGTTTCCCTTAAGATTTGGATACAAAATACAGCGACAAATGAGAAGATTTAGTGGTACCATGTGACATGAAACAATTAAGTTCCCAAATATTTATAGTTGTCACCTTATTATCCCCAGTAGCACATAATTAGAACATAAGGTTACCATTGCTTTAATGGAGGATTTTTGGCAAGACAGACCATTATAAAGCCAGAGTTCTATTTTTGACCTTCTGTACTTTTTTGCAGGACAAAATACCAATAAATGTATGCCAGAGTTTATATTAAAGCTTAAAGGGTTACTCCAACCACCATGACCACTTCTGCTTTTAGAGAGTGTCACGTTTTAGGAGTTTCTGCTTGAAACGCTGCACATACAGATATCTGCAGTTTGAAGAATGGGCTACATGCACTCTCAGCACACTTGCCTAAACCAGTCCAGAATGAAAAGCATCTGATCGATCTCAGTCAGGTAGTGGAAACAAGCAAGGAGGACCTTACCTGACTGGCGCTGTAATAAAGCTGAATTTTTTTTATTTTTTTTTTAAATAATGGAGGTACCTGGTTATTGATGCATAATAAAGTCAAGAACAAAACTTGAATGTAGTCATTCTTTACGCCTGCATTTCAGTTTAACATTTGCCAGGAGGAAAACCAAACAAAAAAATCCTGTCATGAGAGCTGAAATTTTGCTTATGTGACAAATTGCCACTGATTGCCCAGGACAGTTTTCCCACAAGAAGTCGTATGCCTTTATGGATTGTCATGAACGCGTCAGACTGAATTATACAGGTGATACTCGAAAAATTTGAATACCGTGCAAAAGTAAATTTCAGTAATGCAACTTAAAAGGGGAATCTAATATATGAGAGACGCATTACATGCAAAGCAAGATAGTTCAAGTCGTCATTAGTGCGATGATTATGGCTTACAGCTCATGAAAACCCCAAATCCACAATCTCAGTAAATTAGAATATTGTGAAAAGGTGCAGTATTCTAGGCTCACAGTGTCTCACTCTAATCAGCTAAGTAATCCATAACACCTGCAAAGGGTTTGAGCCTTTAAATGGTCTCTAAGTCTGATTCAGTATGAATCACAATCATGGGGAAGACTGCTGACCTGACAGATGTGCAGAAAACAATCATGGACACCCTCCATAAGGAGGGAAAGCCTCAAAAGGTAATTGCGAAGGAAGTTGGATGTTCCCAAAGTGCTGTATCAAAGCACATTAATAGAAAGTTATGTGGAAGGGGAAAGTGTGGAAGAAAAAGGTGCACAAGCAGCAGGAATGACTGCAGCCTGGAGAGGATTGTCAGGAAAAGGCCATTCAAAAGTGTTGGGGACTTTCACAAAGAGTGGACTGAGGCTGGATTCAGTGCATCAAGAGCCACCACACAGACGGATCCTGGACATGAGCTTCAGATATCGTATTCCTCTTGTCAAGCCGCTCCTGAACAACAAACAAAGTCAGAAGCGACTTACCTGGGATGAAGAAAAATAGACCTGGTCTGTTGCTCAGTGGGCCAAAGTCCTCTTTTCTGATGAGAGCAACTTTTGCATTTCATTTGGAAAAGAGGGCCCAGAGTCTGGAGGAAGAATGGAGAGGCACACACTGCAAGATTCTTGAAGTCCAGTGTGAAGTTTCCACAGTCTGTGTTGATTTGGGGAGCCATGTCACCTGCTGGTGTTGGTCCAATGTGCTTCATTAAGTCCAGGTCAACGCAGCCATCTACATGGAGATTTTGGATCATGCTTCCTTCCACAGACTAGCTTTATGGGGATGTGGACTTCATTTTCCAGCAGGACTTTGCACCTGCCCACACTGCCAAAAGCACCAAAGCCTGGTTCAATGACTGTGGGATACTGTGCTTGATTGGCCATCAAACTCGCCTGACCTGAACCCCATAGAGAATCTATGGGGCATTGCCAAGAGAAAAATGAGACAGGAGACCGAACAACGCAGAAGAGCTGAAGGCCACTATTGAAGCATTCTGGTCTTCCATGACACCTCAGCAGTGCCACAGGCTGATAACTTCCATGCCACAGTGAGGCAGTAATTGCTGCAAAAGGGCCCAAACTGAGTCCATATGAATGCTTATACTTTTCAGAGGTCCGATATTGTTCTATATACACTCCTTGTTTTATTGATTGCATGTAATATTCTAATTTACTGAGATTGTGGATTTGGGGTTTTCATGAGCTGTAAGCCATAATCATCGCACTTATAACAAATCACAGCTTGAACTATCTTGCTTTGCATGTAATGAGTCTCATTAGTTTCCCTTTTACGTTGCATTACTGAAATAAGTGAACTTTTGCATGATTCTAATTTTTCAAGTATCACTTGTATAAGGAGCAAAGTTTTCTACATCTGGTTATTACTCAATAGTTGACAAATAATTATTCAGCTTGTAATATTGGTGAAGTCAGAAAACCATAAAAGAGTTAACACTGAAATTAAGAAAAAAATATTGCAATTTATGCTGAGTGTTGAGCTTGATTGGCCAATACTGCAACTGACCAAAAACAGAAAAAAAAGTTAAAATAATTCTAACAGGTAGCCGTTGGGCCTTCCAGTGTATACTTCAAGGTACCATTAAACAGTTCTGTAAATTGATTTTGCAAAACTGTATTTTAGCTACATTGCTCATTTGTTCCCAAATGTTTTAACTTGCCAAGGAATTGTAAAGAGTTACTCCAACCATCGTTACTTGCAGCCTGCTGTAGTGGTTATGATGGTAAGAGTACCCTGGTTTTCACTCTTATGTTTACGACATCTGACTTCTGCAGAGCTGCAGAAGCCAGACACCCAGCCTCCTGGACATTTGCTGAGAGTCAGCTGATCACTTAATGAAACTGATTATAGACATATCACTGCAAATACAGACTCCAAGCACCATCGCCACTATCTGATATGCATAAAAATTTTATTGAAAGTTTCACAAACATGGGCATATGATTGCATCAATAGTGTCAATAGGATGGCTTTGTAGAGCAGATTTGGAGAGGGTGGAAAGAGTATTACATAGACTAGTGTCAGGACTTAAAGTTTAAGGGCCCTATGCTACAAGCCAGGGTCTCAACGTTACTGGCTACTGCAAGCATGGAGTCCATGGCACTTACCAATGGCTGGTAGAGAAAATTTTGAGTCCTGCTAGTGCAACATTACATTGAGGAAGTTCGTAATTTCAAATACATAATTAAGAAGAAGTTAATGATGGTGGAGAAAGACTTACTCCATGGTTGCCAACCCAGAGCAACTCCTCATGCAGATCAAAGTTAACAGCTGAGAGTGGAATGCCAACTTCAGACACTGCTGTGTGGAGCTCAGAGTATATGCCACCCATTAGTCCAACATTATCCTGGACAGAGAGCCCATCTAGTCCCGCTGCATCAGGATCTAGGTCTACAGGCTGCAGAAGGTTGGGATTTAGGTGGGGATCGAGAACTTGGTCCAAGGGTGCATGTAATGGAGGTGGGTGGAGTGGAGGTGGATGAAGTGGAGGTGCATATTCCACCAGGGCTGGATCCATGCCATCAAAGTTCATGGCTAGATGAAGAGGATATCCCAGTCCTAAATATAAAGAAGATATTAAATAGGTTAACTGGCATTTGCATCAATGTTTTTAATGAAAGATGATCAGGCATTTACATTATATTGTCAGGAATTATGCAAGCCAGAAGATTATCTCACAGGCAAATGAAAGTACTGGTGCCTTAGCATCAAACTTACAACTTGCAATTTGAGTCACAGACTATACATTCATGGCTTGGTGGGGTTGACGTGTGTGCAGCTCTGTCTGGCACAGACAATCATAGGAGCTTCCACAGCCATAGACAAAATAAAGGTTGTGTTTCTCATTGTACTTAAGTTAGCATAAACCCACACTACATTATCAGGGTTATTCACTAAAGAGAAACCTCAGGGGATTCAAAGTGAATTTAAAATTTAAGGTCAAAATAACGGACCTTGAAAACATAGTTACCAATTCTTTCAGTTTCCTGACTCTGGCCTTAAATTTCTCACTTTAAATTCCCTGCACTTCTCACTTTAGTGGACACTAAATGTGAATTTTTTTTATTTATTTTTTTTTTTTAAACACAACTTCCCTAGTGTAAGGGTTACTTATTTTGAAACCTACATCTCAACTATTTTAATGAACAGAATTTGGCAGTTAGACCACACTCACGTGGACAAGTCACATGTGTGCACTTGTTTGCCCATTTTTCTGTTCTTCAGAATGCTCCTCCCCCCCCTTTTTTTATAAATAAGGAAACAATCAAATCTATGGTTTTAATTCATGCAAGACTGATAAAAGGTTAGAAAATGCAGCCAAGGAGTCTAGGGACACTTCTCCTCTTGCAGGTATGTGTTAGCACAGAGACTGGGTTCACTCCAGTATTCTAGTACCAGCATCTACACACCTGGGTGTTCCTGTAGGAGAGGGCCATTAAGGTGCTCCTTTCTCCGCATACACTCTTTTAAAAAGGTTATGCTAAGCAACATGTCTACTTCAACTTGTTAAGGTGCTTATAGTTTAAGTACCCAGTCTTTGTAGAGAGCTAGCATAGGAGCAAGAACTTGGTCAGAGTTTTTTTATCCCCCAGTTCTTACAAAAGACAAGCCACAGATGGAGCATTTACAAATTAGCTCTGCAAAAACTAACAAAGCACTGATCTGATGGGTTTATAGCACAGTTCCACTCATTTGATGGAAGGAGTAGAACTGCTGTTGGATAGCATCTTAACATGTATAGGTATGTAGGTTAAGAGTTTGTTACTGGTGTGGATGGAGCCCACCTAACACAGTGCACCAAGAGACATTTTCAAGGTAATGTCTGAATTATCAAATGCATAAATGGGGTACATTATAGTTCAGTTTACCTTCCACTCCCAACCCACCAGGTTTGCACAATCCAGCATTTGCCAGCTTCACTACTGGAACAGAATTAGCAAATACCAAAATCCTGGACTGTTGTGCATGGAGAAAAGTGTTAGGTACTGTTGATTTAACCCTTACTCTTTACTCATATGGTAAAAGAATTGATGAATACTGTGGCAATTTGACTCATGTAAGATCACACTGTCCCAATCCCTACCCAATTATGCTATACATATGCCCAGGGCTAGTTTGAGGGACATGTCCACCATAGTGAATTTACACTTTTTGGGGGGACCAATTCACATTATCAAGCCTTCAGCAAACTATGCTTCTTTCAGAATTAGACTGGTAGATTACAGGGCAAGTCTCAATTAACCATGGTCATTGTGGTTAGACCGAGAAGAGAACCTTCCCACACTGTTCTGAACAGAATAGAACACTGGGAGAATCTACAACAGACTAACAGCGAACCTGGAACCCAGTGTTACAAAATGACTGCTTTCACAACACTCTTAGAGTTATTAACAGAGGGATCTAGAGAGACACCCCCCCCCCCCCAACATCAGCTGCATTATTATTATTATTATTTTTATTATTATTATTATAAATAGGGCGGGAGGTCATACTATGGAATCACACATTTTAATACAACCCTTAACCTGCTGAGGTTTGTGAGTTACAATCCACAGCTGCCATTTTTATTGATGCATCAGTGGGATAATGGATTAATACAATACAAGCCATTCAGCTGCTAGGTAGTGCATGTTGTTATTATTATTATTTAAAATGCTATAACATGCAGGCGGTCCTCCTACCCCAGCTGTGTAAGATAAATGCACCCCGCGTTCACGGCTGCAGAGAGGATAAAAGCAGCGGATACTTCCCTCCTACATGCTGGTCTTGGAGGATGAGACTAGGGTGACAACTAAACTCTTGGTTCCAGAACATGAGGACGGGCAGCAGAATCCACCAATCACAGGAGGACAGAATCCAGATCCACCAATCAGAGAGCGGGCAGGGCTGAACACTCGCGAGGACGATTGTTGACGGAAGCAGCGTGCGCTGGGGTAATGTGAGAGCGCAGAACGGAGACCCCGTAGGGCCAAACTTCAACTGGTTCCGAAGCGTCAGAGAATGAATGATGGGGGTTCGGATGCGAGGGGGCTATAAGTCTTCACCGCACAGTTACCATTGGTTAGTGGCTGTAAAGGTCACACCTGAAAACTATTAACAGAGGAACCCATCTAAACCGTATACTTCATTGGGTTCCCTGCTAGCTTATATAAACAGGTGCTATTAGTATAGGGATTGGGGAAGGTCAATCAGAGTTTGACAAACATTGTACCTTCATATAGTGCAACTATTCTGATATTCAGAATATATACAGAGAAAAGAGGGAATGAGACAGAAGGGAATAGCTCTGAAACTGGAGAAAAAAAAGGGATTAACCAAAACCTTTAGGAGCAATGCAAAGTACACTATATAGTATAGTGTGGGGTATCCAGGAGCTAGTTAGTAAATTGGATGAATACTAGATTAATAAATGATATAAAAACAGAAGAATATTAAAAACGTTGTATAACACTTCAATGTCCAAAATGGAAAGAATATATATGGAGTAGGTATCCCTAACCCTGATTGTGGAAGAAATACAGGGTGAATGGTACCAGCGCCAAATTATATACTTTTTGTACCTAGTCCCCTTAGGTTTAGTAGTGCAAACTGAGGTACTTTACCAAGGAGCGGTAGCAAGTTTCTTGTTCGCCTGAAACAAGAACAAAAAATTCTGCTCCCCCCATATTGATCTAAACACAGATGGTCATTATATATTGATCCAGACACTGGACACTGATGGTGGTTTAGTATCATTATATCAGTATATATTGATCCAGACACTGAGGGTGGTACAGCACGACTCCTATCAATATATATTGATCCAGACACTGAGGGTGGTACAGCATGACTCCTATCAATATATATTGATCCAAACACAGAGGGTGGTAAAGCATGACTCCTATCAATATATACTGATCCAAACACTGAGGGTGGTACAGCATGATTCCTATCATTATATATTGATCCAGACACTGAGGGTGGTAAAGCATGACTCCTATCATTATATATTGATCCAAACACTGAGGGTGGTATAGCATGACTCCTATCGTTATATATTGATGCAGACACTGAGGGTGGTACAGCATGACTTCGGTCATTATATATTGATCCAGATACTGAGGGTGGTATAGCATGACTCCTATCAGTATATATTGATCCAGACACTGGACACTAAGGGTGGTATAGCATGACTCCTATCTTTACACACTGCTCAAAAAATAAAGGGAACACAAAAATAACACATCCTAGATCTGACTTAAATATTCTTCTGAAATACTTTGTTATTTACATAGTTGAATGTGCTGACAACAAAATCACATGGAGGTCTGGATTTGGAGTCACACTCAAAATTCAAGTAAAAAAACACACTACAGGCGGATCCAACTTTGATGTAATGTCCTTAAAACAAGTCAAAATGAGGCTCAGTAGTGTGTGTGGCCTCCACGTGCCTGTATGACCTCCCTACAACGCCTTTGCATTTTCCTGATGAGGTGGTGGATGGTCTCCTGAGGGATCTCCTCCCAGACCTAGACTAAAGCATCTGCCAACTCCTGGACAGTGTGGTGCAACGTGACGTTGGTGGATGGAGTGAGACAATAATGTCCCAGATGTGCTCAATTGGATTCAGGTCTGCGGAACAGGCGGGCCAGTCCATAGCATCAATGCCTTCGTCTTGCAGGAACTACTGACACATTTCAGCCACGAGGTCTAGCATTGTATTGCATTAGGAGGAACCCACGGTCAACCGCAGCAGCATATGGTTTCACAAGGGGTCTGAAGATCTCATCTCGGTACCTAATGGCAGTCAGGCTACCTCTGGCGAGCACATGGAGGGCTGTGCCGCCCCCCAAAGAAATGCCACCCTACACCATTACTGACCCACTGCCAAACCAGTCATGCTGGAGGATGTTGCAGGCAGCAGAACGTTCTCCATGGCGTCTCCAGACTCTGTCACGTCTGGCACATGTGCTCAGTGTGAACCTGCTTTCATCTGTGATGAGCACAGGGCACCAGTGGCGAATATGCCAATCTTGGTGTTCTCTGGCAAATGCCAAACGTCCTGCTCGGTGTTGAGCTGTAAGCACAACCCCCACCTGTGGACGTCGGGCCCTCATACCACTCTCATGGAGTCTGTTTCTGACTGTTTGAGCAGGCACATGCACATTTGTGGCCTGCTGGAGGTCATTTTGCAGGGCTCTGGCAGTGCTCCTCCTGTTCCTCCTTGCACAAAGGCAGAGGTAGCGGTCCTGCTGCTGGGTTGTTGCCCTCCTCCACGTCTCCTGATGTACTGGCCTGTCTCCTGGTAGCGCCTCCATGCTCTGGACACTACACTGATGGACAGAGCAAACCTTCTTGCCACAGCTTGCATTGATGTGCCATCCTGGATGAGCTGCACTACCTGAGCCACTTGTGCGGGTTGTAGACTCCGTCTCATGCTACCACTAGAGTGAAAGCACCGCCAGCATTCAAAAGTGACCAAAACATCAGCCAGGAAGCATAGGAACTGAGAAGTGGTCTGTGGTCACCACCTGCAGAACCACTCCTTTATTGGGGGTGTCTTGCTCATTGCCTATAATTTCCACCTGTTGTCTATCCCATTTGCACAACAGCATGTGAAATTGATTGTCACTCAGTGTTGCTTCATAAGTGGACAGTTTGATTTTACAGAAGTGTGATTGACTTGGAGTTACATTGTGTTGTTTAAGTGTTCCTTTTATTTTTTTGAGCAGTGTATATTGAGCCAGACACTTTCGGTGGTATAGCATGACTCCTATCATTATATATTGATCCAGACACTGAGGGTGGTACAACATCATTATATATTGATCCAAACACTGAGGGTGGTACAGTATGACTCCTATCATTAAATATTGATTCAGACACTCCGCGTGGTACAGCATGACTTCTTTCATTATATACTGATCCAGATACTGAGGGTGGTATAGTATGACTCCTATCATTATATATTGATTTAGACACTGGACACTGAGGGTGGTATAACATCATTATATACTGATAACATCATTATATACTGATCCAGACACTGAGGGTGGTATAGCATGACTCTTATCATTATATATTGATTCAGACACTGGACACAGGGTGGTATAACATCATTATATATTGATCCAGACACTGAGTGTGGTACAGCATGACTCCTATCATTATATATTGAGCCAGACACTGAAGGTGGTATAGCATGACTCCTATCATTATATATTGAGCCAGACACTAAGGGCGGTATAGCATGACTCATCTGGTAATCCGTGACAATGCACTAATTGGCCTGAACGTATAAGACAGCTACTTATGGTCTGCAGCCAACAGAAGTGCAAGTCAGAGGTGCCAAGCTGCCTCCTCCGCATTAAAGTCATACACAAACACACACACACACACACACACACGCTCAGTTACAGGCAGACAGTCCCAGCCACACACACAGGTACAGGCAGACAGTCATACACACACAGTTACAAAAAGACAGTCACACACGCTCAGTTACAGGCAGACAATTTACAAGAAAAAAAATTATCCAAAATTAATTTAATAGTTTTTATTATATAAAAAATGTATGTATTGGCACTGTTCCCCTTGATTTATTTAAAGCAAAAAGTAACCCACTATTTTAACACTTATAGACACTGGAGTACATTTATTAGAGAATTTGTAATTCACACATTAATCACAAACGATTTAAAAAAAAATATTTATTGTGACAAATAATTAATAATAATAATATGTAACGTGTGACAAGAATCAGTGAATATTTAGGTATAACATAAGTATACAATATGGCAGCAGTTATGACACAATTACAGATAGCTCAATAGCAACAGATGTTAATTTAATCATAAAGAAGTTACATGCATAAATACAATTACTTCCTCTAGAATTCAATCAACAGTTAAATCCACATTAATGCAATTTTAGCAAGATTACAGGAATCCTTCAATTTAGGAATTCCTTAATGCAGAACTTTTCACAGCAGCACATGCAGTTTCCAGCCCTAAAACTTTTGCTGTCAGTTTAATCACACTGAGTTAACTCACTCACTGCTGGCTACAATTCTCACATGAAAAACACTTTTAACATTGCAACTAACAGATACAATATTTTTCACACCAATAAGTTAATTAACTATCTTCCTCAATCCAGTAAGTCAAAAGAATAATTCTAACTAAAATGTTACACTGCAGATAATTAACTTTCCTAATTAAAGATTAACTATCCTTAAATTCAGATAAATCAATACCTCTAGATAATAGCTTGATATGCTATATTTGGCAAACTACCAGTAAATATATTGTTCATTTACTCCACCTGCAGGAATTGGATGTGGAACCATATATTTACTCAGCTAATTATGATTTCAAAGGTTTGAAATCTGACCAGCCATATCCAGATACATTTCTGCTTTTAGTAAAAAAAAATATTAAATTAAATTAAATTAAATTAAATGGAACCAGCATATTTACCAGCTTTCTTGGTAGAAATTCTTTAGGCTTGGAGATATATTCCATGAATGGTGGATGCGAGTATGAGGTAGAGAATTGTGGAAATAGGAAAGTTATCAAGAGTTCTGATTATTAAAGGATTCCAGGATCAGCTGGAAAAGACAACTTAGTAATGTGACAGCATGTGAAATATACATGTCTTTTACACACATTCAGTTAATATTAGTTTAATAATAACACATTTTCTTCATTTGGACTCTATCCATGAATATTCAATATTATTAACATAGGTACTATTTATATATAATTTAACATAATTATAGTTAGTCTATATGAATATATGCATATATGACTGGACTCTTTCTACCCCCCTTGTTGCAGACATAAGTTCTTGTAAAAGAGACCTTATCTCTGGCAAATGTTTACGTTGGCCACATTCCAGAGTTTGAATAGA